ACTTTGCCGCAGGAGAACCAGAACCAAACCAGACATTAACCGGCTAGAGTGAAACTCGACGATGGAGAGAAGGCGCGATAGAGATGCCAAACAGCATCTCTGTCGTTGGAAAACTAAGATGAATTCATACTGAATTCCAATTATATAATTCTCTGGTTGCTAATTCATTTCTCTATGATTATATTAATTTGACAGTGACTCCAAACTTCCTGCACCACAAAATGGGTCTGGATTACTTTGCCATTCGAGTAAAAAATCTGAGTCTTTTAAAATAACTGCAGTAGCGCACTGGAGTCCAGGGCGACAGGTTGGCAACACAAATTCCTGTATTTGTCTTGTTATCCTTGCAACAAGTAGTTCTAATATCAGCAGCTTCATTTCCAGCTTTTTTTTTTTTTTTTAAACAAGTCATGTTTACAATCCCAACCTCACCTTTTGACCTTCTACTGGAAGTTAAAATGAGAGCTGGCAGTTACGTGTTGCTCCTAACAGGATTTATAAAAGCCACCTGGCAACACATACAACTAACCCAGAAATGTTAATTACATGCTGGTCTGATGATTTATTTCAACCGCCTCAGAGTTAATACTACTGAGATAGAGAGAACCACTTTTACAGAGTCAGCAACACTTTAGTACTGTGAGTATTTAATCAGTGTTTGATTAATTTCCTTTAGGCCTTTTCTAGCTTTAATGGGTCAGTGAAATATAAGTGTCAAATGAAACGTCAATTAAGCAGACCCCACTTCTTTGTGTAGTATCCATGTTTCCATAGTAATCATTACTTCGTTTCCTTCAGCTGAAGTCGTTTTCCTTTTTTTTTTTAGTCAGTGTTCAGGGCTTATAATCAAATTGATGCTTGGTGTGTAAAATCAGGAGGTCTCAGCAAACAGAGAGGGCTGTTCAGAAGGCACAACAACACTGGAGTGCCTGCAGCACTTTAAATAAGGCCTCAGTGTTTGGCTGTTAAAACTGAATAAAACTGTAGCAACATATAAAGTGTTATTATTCTAGGCCAAAATTCAATAATAGAAGCATTCATGGTAAAAACCAAAACCCAGCAAGGGGAGGTGTGACTACTTCCACTTCCTTTTTGCTTCCTATCCAGTCTGCAGAACCTGAACCACAATATAGAGGCGTCAGAGTGGCTCCTTCATATGCATTGCTGATAATTAACTTTTTTTTTTGTCAAAGTAAAACTAATTCAACAAGCAAAGAGTTTAAAGCACATAACTATATATTGTGTGAAAAATCCAGATCTCACCTGCTAATCCTGAGTTTGACCAATTTCACAAGAATTGTGCGTCTATTTATTAATGCATCAAAGAGGATGTGCTTAATTTGATCGTATCAAGCGACTATTTAACAATTTTAAGACTGAAAATGGGGAGTTAATCGCTAAAAGCTATTTAATAAAGAATAAAAATATCAATAATTGACACGGCAGAGCACGATCAAGAGGAAACCTGACCAATCAAAGGGTCGAACTCTGTAATCGTGTTCTCTTTGTTGACTGGCTATTGATCACAGAAAATCGACAAGGGAAAGATTTGTCAAACTACATCTGCAGAAGTTCCAAGTGCAAACACAAGAGGGATTAAACAAAGACGACCGGAGTGGGCGAAGCATGAACAGTGGCGGCAGCAGCACACGCATGCTAATGCAGGGAGAAGAGGCAGGGTGGAGGGCTTCGCTTCGAAAAGGGAAATAACTGCGTAAGAGCCGGGGAACCAAAACAGGTGGAAGTTTTGAGGCAGTACTGCAGTCTTCAGATCGCTTATGGAGCACACAGTGTTTCTGTAGCTCTTTTTTTTTTTTTT